AATTCCTATTCCATTATAATGTAAAGACATTGAAGCATAGAAATTCTACAGCCTCATTTTTTCTCATCTAACATTTCTTTTTAAATGGTCACCATCTTTGCTGTGTCTTTTTTCTCATTCCCAATTTTAAAGAATGGGGTCAGGCAAAATTTTACTATACAAAATTTTCTTATCATGAAATTTGACTTTCTTCATAGTCCTTCTTTCTACTCTTGGAGACTCTTCTGTGAAGACCATTGGAATCACTCATTAGTTGATGATGTTCAATAATCCTAATATTGACTCTGAAATATCTGGAGAATATTCTCACAGTTTGAACATTATTATTATATTATTATATAATGTTTAATAACATTATTATATAAAATGTTACTAGATATTACATACCCTTCACTCAAGTTTTAGAGGCTTTTGCTTTGATAGGTTATTTCATGTACTCTATTTCCATCTGAAGTTGAATAGATATGCTTGAGCTAACATTTCTAGTGAATATAGTGGATTTGGGGTAGTTTTTAAGGTTTTGTAGGTTATACTAACTTAAGAATTGTCTTGGGAACATAACAAAATGATTTTTTAAAAAGCCACAAGAAGCATGTAAAATGAGAAATCTATAAAGGCAAGTATAAAATAACAAGGCTGTGTAGAAATTCAATTGCAGAACAAACATTTTAAGAGGTGAACACACACACTCACAAAAATAAGTGACATACTTTTTTTTATTGGCAGAAAGACAAGACACATGACCAGAAATAGGTATGTAGCAGTCTTATCTCCAAATCTTCTTCACATAGCTCAGTGCTTTTGAAATTTTCAAGCATGCATCTCAAATATATGTGTATTAACACTGTGTGTGTACTTGACATACCTTTACCTGCATCTCAAGGGCAAATTTCTTTATAATGAGAGTGGATAGGAATCCATAGCTTGATAAAATTGTGTTAAAGAAGCTTCAGCCACTTTAATTTTGTATTAGACTAGAGTGTCATTATTTTACCACACAATATGGCTGAAAAAAGCTTGAGTGGGAGTTGAAATGTCAACCCTGCCATTTTTTGTTGTTGTTGTGGTTATATTAGTTTTAATTTTAATACATGGTTTTCTCCCAGAAAGTGTTTAAAGCTACTTATTCATTTTGTGAGGGTTACTTTACTTTAAAACTATGATAATACGTTATAGAAATCCCGTTAAATATGAAAGGTAACTACAGGACACTGAAAACACTCAAACTGGTGTGTGCAGCAGTCAGCCCCTTCGCCTTGTATAGTTCCCAGGCCTCCTCAGAGGCCTCACCTGCACCTACTGGCATGTGGCCATCTGGCATGTGAACAGATAATGCCCATTGATGTCTTAATCATCAGTGAAGCTCACTTTCTTTTGTTGTTAGTTTTAAAAAATCTCAGTCTTTCTGCACCCAAAAGCAGGGTAAACACCAACCTTGGACCATCCCGTTAACTAATAAAATGTTAGATAAACAAAGTATGATTTCAGATCAAAGGGTGAAATATATAGCTCTGTGATTAAGCCCTTGAGCTGTAGAGACAAAAAAGTATAGCAGTTTCTAACGATCCATGGGATGATAGAAAATCTATGGCCTGTCTTCAGACATTCATGTACATGTCAGTGAAATGTTTGTGTTTTATCTGTAGCTACCTCATATTGTTATTTTGAAAATTATATTTTGTCTTAAATGTGAATTTCCAGCACATTTTAATATAGTAATATTTTTAATAATTCTAATGCTAATGGTATGAAAGAAAGATGAGAATTACTAGGTGAAGTTCACTATGATACCTTGTCTTAGAGATGGAAGAAATATATTTGGTAGGAACTGGGAAAGCAAGAAAAAAGATTCTAAACTCTTCACAATGATCTCATGATATGTATATTAGATAATATTGTGATATAAACTTGAAAAATTTAATTTTTAAAATTACTCCCTATTTGGAAATGAATTAATAAGACAGAAAGAGAATAAAATACTAAAAATATCTGAAAAGCACAAATTCTGCACAGTGAGCCAGGAAATTATTCTTGCTCTTCTCATACTGAAGGGTCTGCAAAAGCTGACGCATGTGAAGGAAGGTATGTATATTTGGTGAACTGGAATAAACATGTTTTCAGTAAAAATGTCTTTGCAAGTAGTGTTATGGGGAGGCCTAGTGTGGTGGTAAGAGCAAAAAATACTTATTTGAGATTTGAGAGCTGTGACTATGAAAATCATGAGTACTTTCATATCCCTCAGTGATAATAATAGTTTTACTGTCCTTAAATGATTATGGTGAGGATAAATGACGCAAATGAAAAAAATCATCCAAAAGTAAATATCTAAACAAATTTCATTTGTTATTATTACTATAAATAACAATGATTAAGAATTTTTCTAAACTAAGATCATTAAGAATTGCTTATAAACTCCCTGAAAATCTAAGATTCAGAATCAAGATCTTAAATGAAATTAAATTATTGACTAATTTTTAATAGACCAATTTATTGCAGTTTCTTGTTTCTTTTGTGACATGCTCTTTGTGAACAATTTATTATAATCCTATCTAATAAAAGAGTAATATGCAGATTGACCAACACTCCAACACACAAGATGGCTCCCTCCATGTGGTCAAAGATCCTGCCCCCATGTGGATACAAGATAGCCAGCACAAGATGGCCAGCAGGGGAGGGCAGTTTGGAGGAACCAGGCCTACAAAGGAGGGTAGTTGGGGGCAATCAAGCTTGAAGGGGAGGGCAATTGGGAATGACCAGGCTGGCAAAGGAGGAAAGTTGGGGGTGACTGGGCCGGCAGGGAAGGGCAGTTGGGGGAGACCCAGGCCTGCAGGAGAGAATAGTTGGGGTAACCATGCCTGCAGGGGAGGGCAGTTAGGGGCAAACAGGCTGGCAGGGGAGTGGTTAGGGGGTGATCAGTCTGGCAGACAGAAGTAGTAAAGGGCAATCAGGAAGGTAGGCAGGCAAGCATTTAGGAGCCAGCAGACCTGGATTGTGAGAGGGATGTCGGACTGCCCTCAAGGATTCCCAGATTGGAGAGGGTGCAGGCTGGGTTGAGGGATACACCCCCATGCATGAATTTTGTGCACCAGGCATCTAGTTTAAAAATAATAATATACATTTTAATAGGAGACAAATTTGGAAACAAATCTATCTTCTGTTTTTTAACTTATTTTATAAAGTTACACATTGGCTTATTTTGTAATCACTTTCATGATCATGCATCTCATAAAATGTGTTTGTTTTTTCATTTGGAAGAATAACAAATCATTTTTTTCCTAGTGAGTGCTACTATACTCTTTGTGAAAAAGATGGAATAAATATTGGTTCAATTTAAATCTGATCAGGCCTATAGTGCTTTAGTTTACTGTAAAATAGAATGTATGTGTGTGTGTGTGTATGTGTGTGTATATGTGTTGCTCTAGTTTATATGGTATTAAGTGGCTCTATATAAGGAGGGACTTTTGGATTGGCTATAATAGTATATGAAGAAATAAGTTAATAAAAAATTTTGTATGCTCTCTCACTTACTATGCTAAACTGGGTACTCAATCATTTTCTATGGAAAAATACATAGATATATAAATGGATTTTTTTATTTTTTATTTTTATTTTTGCAATAGAGACATCCAACAAGACAGCTCTGGAGTGTATGATTAACTTGAAATAATGGTAGGCCTTAGAGTTCCAGGATTTTTCTATTTCATAACATTTTAGGTCTGTTATTACCTTAGGTGAACCCAATTCCCCAAGAAAGAAGATGCTAAATTCATTTTCTATGACTTATGTCATCAATATACCTAGGATAGAAAAAACAATAACAGTGTATCTCTAATATTTATGAAATTCTAGGTGGCTATTTTTTCAAAACGTATTTCACAAAAACTGCTGAAATTTCTACACCTTGATAATGATTGTGGACTCTTAGAAATAAATCTCCACACACAGACTAGTGAGATTAAATGTTGCGGGCATACACATGTGCACATGCACACACACACACACACACACAAATTCATTTACTGTGGAGAATTCAAGAATACTATTTTATTAGATTTTTCCTGATACAAGACATAATAAAATAAGAAGTGCCTTCAAAGTAAATGATTTTTTGCCTCGCAATCTTCAAATACCCCAGCAGTGGATGAACACTATTCAATTTCCAAAAGTTTTCAGGACAGGTTGTACATGTTGCCTTACTCATTCCCATCAAGATTACATCACCCATACTTTTCCAGGAAGTTTATATATAGAATTAACCAAAAATTTATTTTTTTTGAGCAAAGATCAACTATAAAAATAACTGGACTCAAAGTTTTTTCACCCTTATTTTTATCGCCACCACCTGACTGCCAACACTTTTTCTTCTCTTTATGCACGTTTTTCTCCACCACAAGTTATGCATTTCAAACTGCTCCTGCACATATTCCCACATTCTAAACCATGCTGACCTTCACATTGGAAAAAAAAAATCGGCCATTTTAAAGTGTAAACTTCAGTGTCTTTAAGTACAATCACAATGTACAATCATCACAGTATCTAGTTCCAGGTATATTGATTGCCTTTGTAATTATTAATTTACCATAAGAGTTTCCTTATAGAATCTCTTAATTCTGGTGTATCTGGAGATTATAGTTATGTGAACATTGTGCTAATCCAATTCTTTCATTTAAAAAAAATGTGATCTTGAGAGATTAAATGCTTTGTTCAATATCATACAATCAGTATCTCATCCAGATTTTCCATTTCTAAGAACAGGGCCTTTTCTCTGACATGGTATTTTTTTCTTGTCTTCATTTATGTTGCCTAGGTCTGGTGATCCAGTAATCTACAGACAATAAAGACTTTCCTAAAAGAATTCAGGAGTCAAATAAATAAATATATATATATAAATATAATTTTTAAAAGCTACATTAGACTTGTTTTATAACATTCTTGCTGTGATTTTCATAGAGAACTTCCATTGTAAGAACTCTTTTTAATTCACACAATTCTGTTCTTAGGTCTTTTTAAGATTGTGGCTGATAAAACTCCCTACCTTACTATGGATGAAATTATAAGGACCATCCATATTGGATCAAGTAGACTAGGGCATCCTTGCTTCTATCATCAGAAGGATATGAAACTAGAGAATCTCGTCATAAAGCAAGGTGAAAAAATCATGCTCAACTCAGTTGAAGAAATCAATGGAGAAATAATGGTGAACTGTGGAATAGTAAGAAATCATCAAAACCACTCATTTACTTTGCCTTTGTCACAAGAAGGAGAATTCTATGAGTGTGAAGATGAACGTATTTATACTCTAAAGGAGATCGTTGAATGGAAGATTCCAAAGAACAGAACACGAACTGTGAAACTTACAGATTTTTCAAATAAGTGGGATTTACCTAATCCATTCCCTGAAGGCTTTTATGGTGCTCTGATACTCAAGCCTGTTTATGAAATTCAAGGTGTGATGAAATGTAAGTATCCACTGAGAATAATGCTCTATGAGCAGGAGCATTGTGGGGTTTGGGAAGGGGAAAGGCTTTGGAGTGAAGAATGGAACCCTGTTCCATCTACTCCTATTTTTGTGACAACCTTTACGTCAGCCACCATCACTGTTCATAAATCTTCCCTACTAGCTGTATGTCCCTCTGACAAGGGAAATGATGTGATAAATTAATTTACACATGTGTGTGCTTTAATATGTAATCTTCAGGAAATTGTTTGCATTTTATTTTTTTCCTCATTTTTTTATTAAGGTATTATATGTGTACATATCTAACCAATCCCCACCCTCCTCACTCACATACATGCCCTTCCTCTCCAGTTTTTCGGCGACTGGTTATGCTTATATGCATGCATACCTGTCCTTTGGTTGATCTCTTATCCCCCCCATATATCCCTCCCCTCCCCTCTGTAATTTGACAGTCTGTTTCTTTACTATCTCTGTATCTATCTTTTTGTTAATCAGTTTATATTGTTCTTTATTATTCATAAATGAGTGAGATCATGTGGTGTTTCTCTTTCATTGACTGGCTTATTTCACTCCGTGTAATGTTCTCCAGGTCCATCCAGGTCGCTACACATGATAATTCCTTCTTTTTTGTGGCAGCATAGTATTCCACTGTGTAGATGTACCATGGTTTTTGGATCCAATCATCTGCTGAGAGGCACCTAAGCTGTTTCCAAATCCTAGCTATTGTAGATTGTGCTGCTATGAACATAGGGGTGCCTATATCCTTTTTTATTGGTGTTTCTAGTTTCTTAAGATATATTCCTAGGAGTGGGATTACTAGGTCAAATGGGAATTCCATTTTCAGTTTTTTGAGGAAACTCCATACTGTTCTCCACAGTGGTTGCACCCGTCTGCATTCCCACCAGCAGTGCACGAGGGTTCCTTTTTCTCTGCATCCTCACCAGCACTTGTCATTTGTTGACTTGTTGATGTTGGCTATTCTGACAGGCGTGAGATGGTACATTATTGTCGTTTTGATTTGCATTTCTTGGATAATTAGTGACTTTTTTCATGTTTTCAATTGTTTGCATTTTAAAATAGAAATAGTTAGAGAGTGCATTGTTACCCTAAAGAAAGTAATATCTTGGATTTTCAGGATTAGATACATAGGGCAAGTCTTGAACTTTCAGTCAAATCCATTCATAGTCAGAATCCATAACTTAATAGGTGGAGATTTTGGGTGAGCCATTGAAAAACAAACAATCTATGCAAAAAGAATGATGATATCGCCAAAGCTGGTTTGGCTCAGTGATAGAGCGTTGGTCTGCAGACTGAAAGGTCCCAGGTTTGATTCGGTCAAGGGCATGAACATTGGTTTCAGGCACATCCCCAGTGGGGAGGTGCAGGAAGCAGCTGGTTGATGTTTCTCTCTCATGGATGTTTCTGGCTCTCTATCTCTCTCCCTTCCTCTGTGTAAAAAATCAATAAAATATATTTTAAAAAAAACACACACACAAAAAAAAAACAGAATGATGATATCACTTTGCCTGTCTTTTGGAGTAGTTTTGAGAATAAATTTAAGTTCTAGTCAGGTGCTTTGTATAATATACTTAAGAACATGAAGTAGTATGTAAAAATATTTGGTCAACATGTACCCCACTCTCCAGTTCAACATATCTCTTCTCGTATTAATATTGTTGCCCACTTATACAATTATAAAAAAGTTGATGTGAAAGTTTGGGTAGGTTTTGAAACTACATGTTAAATTCTGTTATACATAAATATTTAACCAAAAATTGATTAATTCATTTGAAACAAAGGTACTGGTAAGGAATTCCACTCAAATAGTGATTAAATATTGAGGCCACAGCATGATTATTTTTTAATACAAGATTGCAAAAAATTTTAGTTCTCTAGTGTTAGTTAACCCAAAATATGCCATCAGAATTGATAATAGAGTTTTTCTCAATATTCATAAATAATGGATAAACTTTTCTCATTTTGAAATTTGTTCCTTTTCTAAAACCATTGGTATCTCCTATCACACGGCTACAAATGAAGGCCAACCAAGAACTTAAGCATCTGAAAAAGATGTTTACATTTCATAAATTTAGATCAGGGACCAATCAAGATTTTTTTGAGGAAATGGCATTAAAAAAAGACCTGAAGGATGAATAGCCTAACAAAGAGGGAATAATGTTGGAGGAAGTGTTAGCCAATTGTGGCAAAGCAGGTGAGTGAGTGAGTGGAGCTGTAGTGCACCAGGTGTAAAGAAAGGGAGGCAGGAGAAGGCAAGTTGAACAAATCATGCAAGACAGAATGGAATGAATTATGGAGGGCTTTGACATGTATGCTAAGGGTTAGCATTTCACAATTGATGAAGGCTTTCCATCTGGGAGGAGCAGGATCAGCAGAGCGTAGTGAGGCCATTAGGTTTGCGGCAGTGTTGGGGATTCGTACAATAGAATTTCAAAAGTACAGACGGAAAAGTAGTTGATTTGACAGGCATTTAAGAAATACAACCAGTATGATATGGAGAACTATTGGAAGGGGGTAAAAGTCAACTTGAGCCATAAGACTCCTGGCCTCTGGATTGATATATTGGCTAGATGGTGGTGCAGTTTGTTAACTATAAACATTGACAGAAGAGAAGGGAATTTAAACTGAATTGTTTAGATGGGCTTAGATATGGTTTGCTGCTAACCAAGATCCCAGAAAAAAATCCTTTGGTTGAAACAAATCCTTCCAAAATGTTATGGCCCAATTTTTATTCTTTAATGACATGGAATGGAATCTTGACTTTAATTATTTTGAATCCTTAATTTCATGGGGATTATTTTAAACATTGGATCTTATTGTATTACAATTTCAGGACAGATGTTCTCTGAGACTGTTTTGCATGTGTACTGACTACAGAAACTTCCCTGGCAATGGAGGAAGGGTGTCCAACACAAAATGCCCAGTTCTTAAAATGTTTGTTGTTGTAGGCATTTTCTTCTAAATATAAAGTATAGACTATTTTGAAGATCAGTTTTGCTCTTGTTTCACATCATTCTTTCTTAAACTGAAGATTCAAACTTGTCTTGAAGTCAAGCGCATGTTGCTAAGTTGCTTTCCAAAGGCCTTCAGTATCTGGCACAGTTCAAACCCCTCTTGGCTGTAGTCTTTCTAAAGTCACAAGAGAAAGAATAGGTCTGAGCCAGGGTTATCAACTTTTCAAGAAACGTTAGGGGAACAGGCAAGAAGAAAAATATTGAGAGCTATAGGAAGTTATGAAATATTGATATGCTGAAAAAAACATAGCAAGTAAGTAAAGAGAGAGTAAAGATATCATACATTTGGTATTAGTTTTAAATATTATATTATTGTGAAAATTTAGCTTCCATAAAAAAAGAAAAGTAGCAAAAAGTGTTTAAATGAAATATTTGTCCCAGAAATTCTTGGTTATAATCCTCATTACAGGCCTGAAACCCCTCTAATTCTTATATATTTAATATTTTTTAATTATATCTTTTTGGAAAATAGATATTGATAATGGTCCAAGATCTCTACTTACTGATCTTATATATTTGTACTTTTCTCAGGAAGGTATAATTCATATTAGTGTGTAAGAAATGGAATGCATAATATTTGCAAATGAAAAATTGAGTCAGCTATTTAAATTTACTTCCAAAAATTAGAGTTCATTGTCATTAAAACTTTTTAATACTGTGATATTTTATAGTATAGATTGATAATTATTTCTTCCCTACCTGAAATTTTAAAAGTTAGAAAGCTGCGCTTTCTTTTAGGAGAAAAACTCAATGCCTTCCAGAATTTGTGGGTACAGTTTATACTCAGATATGACATATTAATTCACATAATGAGCAGAATATAGAAATCATGCAAGCAGAAAGGTGATATCAGAAAGGCAGTATATGAATATTGCTTAATAGTTGATAAATGGGTAGCAGTAATAAAGCATTGATCTTTTAGTATCCTGGAGGAAAGACTATCTCATTTTATTTTTAAAAATAAATCCAATCTTTATCAAAGTCAAAAAAAGTTAGTGGTAAAAGACTTATAACAAAGTTATCAGCAAACTTTGTGCCCTAATTTCCCCCATATTCTGCTATTTCAATGAAACTCTGTTCAGCATTCTGTTCTGTTTTCTTGTATGTCCATTTACATTTTGAAATAACACAGCGATTTTGCTATTTTTAAAGTCACTAACTTTAGCCAGGACCGGTTTGGCTCAATGGATAGAGCGTCGGCTTGGGGACTGAAGGGTCCCGGGTTCGATTCCGGTCAGGGGCATGTACCTTGGTTGCGGGCACATCCCCAATAGGGGGTGTGCAAGAGGCAGCTGATTGATGACTCTGTCTCATCAATGTTTCTAACTCTCTATCTCTCTCCCTTCCTCTCTGTATAACATCAATAAAATATATTTAAAAAAAAAATAAAGTCACTAACTTTAGACAGTAACTTGGTCTACTTGATATGGTTATGAAGATTTAATTCTCTTATATTTCTTCCTCTTCTCCTACCCCATTCTCTGAGTATATGGTAAATTATGGTTAATGTGTGTTTTTTTATGGTAACAATATACTGCTGAATCAATTGCTGTGAAATGATTATAATTCCATTTTGCATAATTCTTTAGTTTTCTGTAATGATGATCTTATTGTTTCATGCTTGTTTTTCTTCAATCCTAAGTCTTAAAGTATTCTTTAACATCTCTGTAAAAAAAAGAAAGCCATTTAGTGCAATTTTCCACTGAGACCAAACTGTTATAGTTACCTTTTCTATTGTTTTTCTCCTGCAAGTATTCCTCCTGGAACCCTTCGTTCTCATACTCTAATGTGAATTGGTTACTTTCTAGACCTATTGCATAGGTGCTTGTCTTAGCTCGTGCAACTATAACAAAGATATCACAGACAGGGTCGCTTACCCGCAATAGAAATTCATTCTCACCATTTTGAAGGCTGGAAGTCTGAGATCAGGCTACCCTCAAGATCAAGTTCTGGTGAGGAACCTCTTCCA